AACCATAGCAATCCCCAATCATTAATCATAAATGTACACATGTGAAACATCAGATGTCTTACCCAACCACAGAAGAACTGAAGACACCTCAGCCAGTGCTCCGGATCCATGCTCTGGTTTAGACCATCCGATTCCAGCCTGATGGAGTCTGGAGTGAATGTAATCCCTGCACAAGACTTTAGACTGAGACACGAGCTCCTTATCCGTGGGAGAGCGATCAAACACCTCCATGACTTCAGCCGCAAACACCGAGGAGCGGCGCAACATCTCCATGCCCTTCATGAGTGGAGATCACTTACAATCAGCTGACAACCTCCACCTTTATCGCCGTGTATGGAAGTGTTTCTTCTCCACCCTCTTGTCTCCAAAGTCTGATAGCGCCTTAAACGATCTGCAGAAAGAAGAAAACCCGCGTGTTTTAGCCTACTATATAGAGAAGACTCGCTCTCACCTTCTGTTGGAATGAACGTGAACCTGATAAAAGAGCAGAATCAGTGATCGATTACATTTGCTGTTTCTGGAAAGTCATTTAAATCCTCAGAAAGTCTCGAGTATCGACATTTTTAATGACAGCGAAGTGAGGTGCAGATTTGTGAGGTGCAGTCTGCGAGATGAAGCTGCTGTCAGGAAGCAGTGCTGTCTGGCTTTGGTCTGTGTGGATGGGCTGCACACATGAAGTCTCCTTTGGAAAGCTCTCCGTTAAGGCGGAGATAACCTGTTATGGCTTTAATAGTCCGCCTTTCTAGAAGAACAAACACCTATCTATCTATCTATCTATCTATCTATCTATCTATGGAGCTGGGTAACTGATTACATTTAATCTGGATTATGTAATCAGATTCCCAAAAAACTAAGTAGGCTATTTTTAATTAGATTAAATTGCATTTTAAAATAGCCTTGTAATCAGACTACAGCAGGGCCGGAGTGGGACTCATTTTCAGCCCTGGAGTTTCATGCCTTATAGACCGGCGCACTTTAGTTCATGACTGACTATTAAAATAATGTAATTAAAACCTCAGTAGATATAAGTCTGCAATAGTGCACTGTTCTCTACAGCCTTGTAATTCATCGTATTTTTCGAGAGCATTTATTTGATCAGAAATGGAAAATAAGGGACATAATTGTAATTTTTTAAAAGGAAATTAAGCAACAAAACAAGGGACACTCAAAATATTTGTACTGTACCATAATGTATGTCTGCCTGCAGTTAAAAAGTTACCAGGAAAAAAAAAATCACATTTGTTTTACTTAACCCATTTATGTTTGATTATTCTAAAAATAATTGTAATGTCATACAAAAATGTCATCGCTCTGAGTAAATTGTAGCCTACCATTATAGAATGTGACTGCACAAGTAGTGTAGTAATTTAGGAGGTGAAAATACTGTGAGATTACATACAAATGGAATGAAATTTGAAAGCATAACGGAACGTCTATGAAAGGTCAGTCAATAAAGCATTTTTTAAACAGTGGCACTTTATTGCAACCATAGCCTATGTATAAATGAAAATGCATATTTTCAACTAAAGAAAATTTTGAGAGTGTGGGCTGTTTCTGATGCATAATCTGGCAGGGGTGCAGAATTCGGCACGACACCGGTCTGTTGTTTTGGGCCGCGGTGTTGTCATGTCACTAGGGTTGAAACATGCTGTCCCTGCCTGCACTCAAAGCAGCCGAATTCTGTACCCCTGCCATATTATGCATCCCCTCGTTGAAATCGCTATCTGATTGCCTAATCCCAACACCAACCCCAAATCCTAACCCCTCCCTCACACCTACTCCTAAACCTACCAATACTAGGGGATGCATCCGGGCCTGGACTACAGTTACTTTTTTATTGATTACATATTATTCAATAGCAATAATTTATTGATTCTCCCTAATTCCTCTTTTTTATCTTTGAAATTTTCCTTTCTAAAATAGTCTACCCCTTATATCTAGGCCTACACTCAAAAAGTCTTCCAGTTTTGTGGACATTCACAGAAAGACCAGTCACTAGTTAGGTGGCTAGACAGCATTTGACCACTGGATTTACAAAACTCATTTCAGGTTTAAGAAGTGTTTCAACATCCATCCATCCATTCATCCATCCATCCATCCGTCCGTCTGTCTATCTATCTATCATTGTAGGTCAACCTCATTGTCATTTTAAGTATGGAAATTGCAAAACGTTGCCATCCAAACTATAATTTGATACAAAATACAGTAGATGCTTTTGCTTTTTTTGCTTTTTCTTTTTTAGTCCAATGTGCTTTTTGCCAGCCACAAACTCACTAAAGGCCTATTTTCTTGTAACAAGGACAGTTTTGTGTATAAAATGTTTGTAAAAGTTATTTTAATGTGCATACAGTAGTTGTTGAACAAAAAAAGGGTCATGTTACTCCAGTCCCACCCACCATCTTTGATAGAGTTGTTTTGCAAGTCTCGACTGTTTTTGCTCTAAGCGTGTCAGTTAGAATTCATTAGAGCCACCCACCCAGCCGAAACAATGGCTTTCCCAAAGAAACATATGAAACCAAGATTTGTTTTGACATGTCAAGTAAATCCTTGTAAGCAGGAATATGCAAAACATATCAAGTTTCCAATGTTGAATAACCGATTCAGTGATGGAGTATAACAAAAAGGCTTATTCAAGCACAATACAGTGAACTTCCTTAAATACAGAGACAGAAAAGAACAAAAAGTAGAACAAGATCAACCAGGCAGTTCTGTTCAACACAGGAACATAATGAGTTGAAAGCTGAAGCGTATCTCAGTGGCACACAATGATACAGTTCCTTTTTTCTGACCACATTTGAGGCTTCCTCTGTATCCCAATTTAAAAACTAAAATATTCTAAGGCCTATTAAAAATAGCTTGTGACAGTTTATCTTGTTAAAACACAACTGAATACAGACAGATATGGAGGCCAGTGTTAGGCTACTGCTGCTATAGTTTACATTTCATTCATTTCCAGTGAATAATGAGACACTGTAGAGACCAGTAATCTTCAGTAAGTTGTAACACACCACACTTCTGAGGAATAATGCTTAAGTATTCTGCAGAAACTCTACATGCCTCTGCATGCCCATCGCGTGACTTCTCATCGGTTACGTTCCTTCTTCATGTCTGGCTTTTTATAATCAAAACAGAGATAGGATTAGAGACAAAAATAAAATCTTGTCAGTTTACAAATCAGCAATTACTTTGAACCCTGAAATAAATAAATGTATCCTGGCTTTGGACAATATTTTTGTACAATACTGCTCCCTACAGGTAAAAGAAGGAACAACAAAATCCTTTCCTTAGTACACTATTTTTACAAGAACATCCATAACCGATTGTGATCTGGAAATATATGAAATCTTTAAACGGCAAATAAATTAACAGGAAAACAGACTCAGAATCATAAAAAAAAGATTATGTAAACAATGTAATCTTGCTGTGAGGTGAAAATGCCTCCTGTTTGACAGTAAAAGAGGATTAAGGCAGAATTTTGGCCTTTTTTACAATTTCTGACAGAAAAAAAGTAATGATTTATAAATAAATATATAGCCACAAGGACCAAATAAGGCTTCAGGTTAGAAAAAGTGCCCTTAGAAAAACATTTAAAACTATAATAGAAACTTTATTAAGGCTATACAAAACAAAGCATGAAGGGCACTGTGTATATTGAAACTCTGATTCAAAGGTCTATGGATGTGATGTCTAGCCTACAAAGGCATTTTGTCAATAAAGTAACGGTTAATTATGAACACTAAAAGAAAAACAAGTGTGAAATGTGATATGAATATATTATACAAAATATAAAACAAAAAGAAAAATGTCTAAGATGACATAAACTGAAACTACTCATGACATATTGGAATAAATTGGAACAAACTGTCCCTAAATAGAGAAGAAAATTTGACAGAATATCTAACCACTGTTGCCAGTAAGAAAATTCATACAGACTGAGGGATCATAATTTTGGTATAGAAACAGGCCAGTTCAAACTGACTATCAAAGCAAGGCAGCTCATGCTCTGACTGAACACAAAATGAACTGAAAACAGAAAAAGCACTCCTTGATCTCATGCCATTATGTCCCTTATGATAATGGTTCTACATCTTTTCCCCCATGACAGATTTTCTATATAAAAAAATAGACTAGCTGCATGAAGTCAAGTCAAGTTTATTTGTACAGCGCTTTTCACGATACAAATCACTGCAAAGCAACTTTACAGCAAATTAAGTTTCTACAATATTTAGTGGTAGCTTATCAGTGGTGACTGTCAGTTAATGTACATATGGCAGAAATGTACGGAAAAATCAATTAAAGACGTAATCAAACAGACGATGAACACTATTAACAGCAATTATTATATGATGCAATCAAACATATAGCAACATGTGGTAGTTCTGTATGTTGTTTCAGTTGCATGAAATGGTTTTTAGAAAAACTGTGACAACCCCCAGAGTGAAAGTGACCTGCACTTTGCACATATATTGCACAAGAAATCTTTCTGTACACAATAACAGGGAGCTGAAAATAACTCAAAATGCCATCACAACATACACAAACCTGAAATCATGTAGGCTAAGTGTTTCTCCAATTAATTAAAGAATCCAAATAATGTTTTCATTAAAGATTTGTGAGAGTGATGTTTAGGGGAATATGTAGATTTAAGGCAAAGAAAATAGCTATGATTTGCTCATATGAGGTCGAATATACTAATGCCAGCATGGTATTTGTTTTGTCATATTAGCTAGGCTAAATAAAACGACTCGAGTGTGCAACTGTCCATCTGTTGTATGATAAATAGGGAATGTTTAAGCTAAAGTAGAACGTTTACATAGTATACTCACATACCTAAATTGCGAATCTCTAAAAATATGACTTGTTGCATAACACACCACAATAGCCAGCGTGGTGAGTGAAAAACTACGTTTCCCAGCAGTCTTTGGGTCACGCACGCGCTTAACACAATTCCTCTCTCTTAGTCAGAGTAGCGGGGTTTCATAGACAGAGGGAGTCTCCTGTGCAGAGCATTAACCGTAAATATCCATACCAAAGACTGAGTGTTTGCTCTGATGTATGGACAGGATTTCATATTAAAATCCTTGTAAACCATAGAGCCGGTCAGCCTGATCCAATGGAATGATTTAGAGAGGCGTGGATTGGGAACAAGCTGTTCCTTTGGTGGGTGACTGTCCAAGAAGGAGAGAAAGAGGAAAAATCTGAGAAGAACCCCTGAACTGGAGGTAGATTAAGCTGGACATGGCATACCTTCAGAACATTCGGAACCAGGTAATCCAGAGAGATGGAGATGACACCTGAAGCCCCCCAGGCATGGCTTGACATAAGAGACATAAGAGTTACTTATTGTTCTTTTTGGATGATGATTGAACTTGACATTAGCTGCAGTGTCCTTGTACTATAGTAAGCTTTTGTAATTATAAATTCCACTAAATAATAGGCTATAATATAATGAGTACACGTAGTTACACTGGGGGAAAAAATAGTGTGGGATTTACATACAGCAAATCAGTTCGAGCGAACGCTGACAACGTGATTAATATTCATGAACCCAGCAGATAATAATAGTAGTAGTATCTTTTAATAATAATTACTGTTACCTATGGCCAACAATATCTTAAACACCACCACCAGTCCTAATTCAATTCAAGTCAAGTTTATTTGTACAGCGCTTTTCACGATACAAATCACTGCAAAGCAACTTTACAGCAAATTAAGTTTCTACAATATTTAGTGGTAGCTTATCAGTGGTGACTGTCAGTTAATGTACATA